GCAGAAGGTCTATTAGAGGCAGGACATCCATTTTTGAAGCACTGGAACAGCTTGCCAATACCTTGTGTTGAAAATGTGATTTTATCATTTTCTTAAAGAGAAGTTTTTCTTTTTCTCCAATAAATGTGATAATTTGAGGACACAGAGGGTTTTTTTTTTACTTCTTTAGTATTTTGCAGGATTATTTCTGAGAGCCACCGTGGTGCAGTGATTTGACTGCATATACATTGCTGAATTAAAGTTTGACACTCCTTTAATTGACACGGCTCATTGCAGGGGAATAATGGAAGTTGTAGTCAATGAGGCACCAGGAGGCTAAAGAATGATTCCATCGCATTGAGCCATGGTGGTTGAAGAGGTGCCAAACTACATTAATCCTATATTCAGATATACCCTACGATTCTGAGGGACCAGGGTTCATATCCTCACTCAGCCACAGAAATCCACTTGGTGACCTTAAAGTGTATCTTCACTGCTCAGAAAAGGCAATATTGATCCATAATGGGGTAGTCCTTTTAGTGTTGCTGGAGATCACAGAGCCAAGAAACCATTGAGATTGGCTGCCACCTACATTGCATGCCCCTGAGTTGGCCCAATGGGTGGATGGTGGCCGCATGGCCAAGTAGCACTGGAGCTGGTTCTGCACCACTTGACCTTACCCCTTATCTTTCCCCTGTAATTCTGGTCTTTGCAGTGCCCACCTGGCATAGAAATAGTGCTGCTCACCAGTCAGAACTTATAGTGACAACAGCTGGAGCGAGAAAGCAATGGGAAAGAGAAGAATTGCACAGTTAGTTTACTTTATAGTTTCAAGGAAAATTCAAAGCAACACATGATTTCTGTTAGCACATTTCAAGGCCTTGGCCCATGTTAATGTGAATCAGCTCCATGGGTTGTGCAACCACCTTGGAGCTAATTCGCACCCCCCCCTTGCAATAAAAGTGTCCACAAAATTATACCTTCAGGTATGTCACACTCTCTCAATCTCAAGCAAAGAAAACTTCCTTTGAGTAAATCTTGCCAAGAAAACACTTTGTTAGCTTCTCTAAAAATCAGAAATGGGTTGAAGGCACAGACAGCAACGATTACTTTTGGACATGTGTATCTTGAGATGGGAGAAATAAAAAAGCAGAATATTTAGATATGAAACTAAACAGAGGACAGCCTTAATATGTGCTTTATGTACGTATTTATTTAAAAGAAATGGCCTTGCAGATTCCTTGAAAAATGGATGAAAGAAAAGAGCTCCTTACACAGGCTGGCTTCAAATACCCTTTGCTGATTTGGTAATTATGTCTTAGCAGTGTCAGTACAGTAGCATGATGTTTAATAGTGTATATTAAAATGTCTGTAGCATTATCTCAAAAGTTATAACAAGCTAATTTTGATGTTAGCTGGACAAGTTGATAAGACCTTTTTAATAAAGCTATATAAAGCAGCTTGGGTAATTATTTTTCATTCATGTTTGTCTTTTAAAGAACTAAGCTATCTGTCATAATTTCACAATAGCTACAGACAGGGCATCATTAGGAAATGGTTTCAGGATTGGCAGTGTGGGTGACATTATGTAAATATATTTGCACCATCCTCTTCTAGATGGAACACATTAAATATACATATTGGACCATGAGTCTAAACATTATCATGTATCATAAAAAGCAAGCTGGAAGATTTATTTAAAAAGAAGTCTAATGGATGTTTCTTGATTGAAAAATTAAATGGTTGTAAAGAAGTTTTCTTTCTGTTGGTCAGTCCAATTAATCCCAGAACATTCCTAACACCGTCTTCATACAAAAGGGGACAACATTTTTTCCCAATAATTTTCCAGAAGCATTACATTTATTATAGAAATACTAAGCATTTGCATATTATGGCCCTAAACATGACTTTAAGGGATATGGTGATTTTAAACATATTTTTGTTTGTTGATTAAAATATTTTGACTTTGGTTTTCAAAATAAAACTGGCAGTGACTCAGAGAGCAATGGAAAGAAGGATGTGTGGTGTGACAATAAGAGATAAGTCAGCAATAAAAAGCTGTGTCAAAGAACTGGGGTACATGACATAGTCAATGAAATCTATGAAGCAAAAAGAAGATATGCAGGGAATATAGCTCAAACAGAAGACAACCAATGGGAAAGTTGACTAACAAACTGGATACCAAGAGACCACAAGCAGCCCTTGGGCAGATCTAGTACTCAATGGGATGAATCAAGGATTGAGCTATACTGCCAGAAATGCACAGGATTGTATATTTTGGCAAATGGTAGATTTGCGTGAAGCCCAAAAGAAGTGGATTGATGACAGATCGGACAGGATTGGAAAGGATTAAAATATCTCTCCATGTAGTGTACAGTTTCATAGTGATGCAAAATAAAACCAGACCTCACAACCTCTGAGGATGCCTTCCATAGATGCAGGCGAAATGTCAGGAGAGAATGCTTGTAGAACATGGCCATATAGGCTGAAAAATCTACAACAACCCAGTGATTCCAGCCATGAAAGCCTCCGACAATATATTAAAATCAGTTAACTTGTAATAAAAGTAAGAAATAATTTAGACTAATGGCATAAGTGTCTGATATGTTAAAATAAAGAAATGTAAAGTGAATAGTTAATAACAATGAGTATGCTACTCATTATTCATAAACAATAGATAGCATGACACTCATAACATTTAATGGGCAATGAGCTATTTTTTACATTTCCAAGCTATTGTGCTGATCACTTGTTGGCAAGCTGCAATATGTTTTCAGATGGCTGGTGGAGGCCAGGTAAACCTAAGATATTTTACCACCTGAGACAAGGAGCAAATATAACCCTTAGTGTGTTAACTCAGGCCCCATCTACACTGCCATATTACATCCAGATTATCTGCATTGAACTGGATTATCTTGGCCTACACTGATATATAATATAGGTCAAAGAAGATAATCTGGATTTTATATGGCAGGGTAGATGGGGTCACAGTACACACATTGACCAGTCTTGGCCACATTATTTTGTGTGGAGAGGCAAAAAGAAAAAAGAAAAAAGAAGAAGAAGAAGAAGAAAGGCTAACCATTCAAATCTAACAATAACAATGATTTAAATTAGAAGTGGGAAAATAGCAGCTATGGTCCTACCTATGCCATTTTAAATCCAGGAGAGATATTGGACTCATCTATATATATCGACAAGTGAAAATATATATGTATGCATTTCTGTATGTTTGTACCACAAAGGTTTCATGGATCTGGATCAAACTTGGTACACATACTCTTTATTATCCAATTTTAAAAGCTGGTGGTGTGTAAACTAAATAATCCACCCCTTTTGTTTTCTGCCTTATTTTTAATATGACCTGCATTGGTGGCCCATGAATCTCACACCATGATGCTCAGATGCAACCACAAGAGGGTAGTATATAGATAGAAAGGCTACCTCAGAGGAAGAGATTATTAATGTAAAAGGGTTAGATAACAAGCAGGGAGACACTCTAGGAGTCCCTGACAGAACATAGCCCTGGAGATGTTCTAAGGAAGGCGTTCTCAGAGGGACCAGTAAGGATGGAAGCGAGATGGAGAAGGGAGAAAGGAGTGAAGAAAATACAACTTCCGTAATAATCTAGTCCTTAACAGAATACTATATTCAGAGTGGTGTATTTCTTAGGGAGAAAAGAATTAATCTGAGTTCATCTGTGCTGAGAAGTTTTACGATTTTATGAACTATCCCATAAAAATGCATACCCTGGAAACTCGGGGTACATATGCTAGTGTGCAATATAACCCATACTCACTATGAGTTAGATCCTGGCTGTTTCCATGAAGTTCATGCAGGATAAAACTGTGAATCCAATTTAGACTCATGCTAAGAAAAGTCAAGGGTGCCCTCGAGCAACCCCATGGCACTTTGTTGCAGTGTGGACAGGAGGATCAGGTCAGATTTGGACTGGTGAACCATCCATATGGGACATGTTGTCACCACTTTCCCAGTGCTCATAAGTGCAGGAGCTCATATGAAGCTCTGTGGCCATCTGAGAATGGTGGGGGTGGCAACACCTTCATCAGATGGCCACCGAGCATCATGTGAGCTGGCAATTGAGAGCCCCCATTTTGATGTCAGCAGAGGTCCCCACATAATCAGGAGCTCACATGGAGCTCTGCAGCTGTCTGGAAATTGCAACTCAACGTGGATAGTAAGGTGATGGTCCAACTAAGCTGATGCAGTCTCAACTCGGCTGTATCATCTGTACTCTGACCTGTGAGTATGGGCTCAGAACAGCAATTGGTATCTTTTATATAAAAGGACAAAATCAAAGTTTTCTATTGGAATTATTTTGTAGTCTTGGATGATTGAATCCATGGATACAGAATCTGAAGATACAGAGAGCTGACTATACACGATTTATTGAGTTTAGTTCTCCTTGTTTGTGTTAATTGGCAGCAATGCTTCACAAGCCACCTTTTCACATGCCCCTAGACTCTTACTTCCCCTTTGTGTACTTGTTTATCCTATGATTTTGAAACCTGATTCATGTTCATATACAGACGATTTCCTTTCCAAACTGCAAACATATGTGACTTTGGCAGATCTTTCTGAGCGCACTCCCTTCTGCAGTTAGGTATTGAGCACAAATCAGTTGTTCTTCCTTCTCAGATTGGAAGAGGAGGGCAAGGAAATCAGACAGGAAGAAAATTTATCTCTCACATTATAGAATGTTGATAAGAGGATTGTCATGGCAACCATATCATAAGCTTCATGTGTACTTTATGGCTGAGTTCATAGTGTCATTTTTAATTACTCTTATGTAATTAAAGGCAAAAATGAGTAATATGTATGAATACATAATCAATATAATCAGCTATGTTTACACCGAGAGCAAACGGTAATTTATCCAACTGGAATGGTGGATTTTAGCCAACTTGGAATTGTCTTTTACTTGTGCATGCTCTTCTTTTGTATTAATACTATTATTGTTATTGTTATGATTATTATTACTGTTATTATTATTATTGCAGAGCTGTGAGAGGCTGGAAAATAATTTTGATGACATCAAGCACACGACTCTTGGGGAGCGCGGAGCCCTTCGAGAAGCAATGAGGTAAGCCTGGGTCACCATAGCAACAGTCACAGATGTGGTAAAGAAAGAGTCATTCTTCATTATTGGGGGAACAAATGAGTTCATTGCCACCATTCAGCTCTATTCTCTGAGGTATTAATTTGTCAGCGGAGCAGCTTCCCTTGAGGCTGTACTTCGGTTTTGAAGCTCCGCGTACGCTAAGCCTCCCTGCACACTAAAAACGTAAATGTTTAATTTGTTACTAAAAACGCTTAAGGGGCCGCCTTGTTTTATATTTATAATAAACTGTGGGAATGAGTAAAAAAATGTTCATCTAAACTGTGCAAGTATTAAGAAAATTGAACAACAATTTCTTTCTTTTCCTTAGAAAAAAAAGGCTGTGTTTGCTTCTAATTTGTGTTTAATTTTCCCAATATAGCAGCCTGTGTAATTTCTTTTTCTATTAGACTTTAATGGGACTATACTACTGTAAGTTAAAATGAATGACCTCCTCCTTTCAAAGGGAGAGTATATTCTTGTATTTCCTACTTTTATTAGCCAGTTCTTCATGCAGTCCTTTTTTATGCACTTAAGTCCCAGGACTTGGGATGGGATATACTTCTAGTGGAGGTAATACTGGGATTTTATGGCAACAGTACAAAGCTATTAAGCAAATATACCATTGCAAATATTTACAGTTGGTTCACTAGGGGCTCTGAAGCTGTATTACAAAGTAAGTCTTGGAGGGGAATCCCAGGTCTTCCCCCTGAAATAGGCTTCAATGGCTCCCATTCATATGGTAAGCATAACACATGTGTTCAGCCAGAGTCTCAATAGTTTTTAGTTGTCACTCTTACTGGAGTTGTTTCTCGTCTCTATCTATTTATCTGTGAACCAATCTGGACAAGGCATTTTGCCTCATGAATTGGAACACAATTGATGCCTGCATTGCCATCCCACTTCACCAATATTATAAAGTCTTAATGCTTCACTGTACACAGTTGCTGTTTTAATCCCTTTCCTTCCCTCTCTGAAGGAGATCTCTGCACTTTGTTGCAGACCAACACTAGCCGGATGCAAACACATCCCCAAAGTCAATTAAAGTGCAAAGTGTAAAGGTGGTTTTTTTTTTTGGTCCTTACACAAGAATGATTATGTTTTCCCTTCAAAACAGCATTTCAGCTGCTTTTGCATTGTTGACAGTGTGCGGGTTGTCTTGTGTAAAAGCTTCTTCAGTTACAGTTGACTTGAGAATACACTATTTGTTTATCTGACATCTTTCTAAATCAGTCTTCTGTTCAATGTAGACTTGAAACTCTTTCCCAAAAAAAAGCACAAGAACTTTAAACCGGCTTTTGGGCTTTTGTTATAAAATTAAGTGGTATGAAATGTGTAAATACAAATATAAGCAAAACTAAACAGATCAAATGACCGAGTTGCAGCAAAACAGAGATTTTATATCCAAATGACAGCCTTAAGCAGTAAAAGCTTTGCCAAAATTAGTTAGATGTGTAGTTTTTACCATCTGAGTAAATACAATAAGAAGGAATGAAAGGAGTTCCACATGAGAAGGCCCACAGAAGGACCTAGAGAAATGACTTTTTTCTGTGTCAGAGGCATGAAAAATGTGACAAAATATCACTTTGGTTGTCTGTATGAGCTTCCCAAAAGCCGTACAGCATCCCTTATATTTATAGGGAATCAGTGATATTTCACATGCAAATGGCCATATTGTGCAAATGCTTAGAAATCCTGCTATGGCTTATTTTATGGGTATGTCTTATTTCTGGGGAAACATGATATAACACATAAAAGTACTTGAGATTATAGATAGGTTCTGGGAGATGTTGGTTCCCAAAGAAGAAGGCAACTACCCCATTTTTTTTTTCTGTGCTGAGAGCATACTATTTGTGCACAAAATACTTTCTTCAGGTAAATGAGATCTAGGTGTGCTCATTGGCTGAATAGAAATCTAACCTAAATCACATAGTAGGAAGGGAGAAGAATATAAATATATAGATATACACAGACTTAATAGGGCCAGAACCACACTTTTTGGTCTAAAATGTCTGCCCATAGAAAAATGAAGAAAGTAATATATGAGGGTTCATCTACATGGTAGAATGAATGCAGTTTGACCTACTTTAACTGCCATGGCTCAATGCTATGGAATCATAGGAGTTGTAGTTTGGTGAGACAGCAGCCTCCATTTACAGAGAAGGCTAATGACAGTTAAAGTGATGCCAAACTGAATTAATTCTACAGGACAGATGTACCCTTAGCTGGGCAGGCATTGTCTCTTCTCATCTTGTTGGGACTATTCAATTGAATTGCTTTCAAGAAACAGCCTGCCATTAAGACGAATAAATTTGTACTTTTTTTGGTGGGAGGGGGTACAAAGAAAAACAGATTAGTCCAACCCTCAAGTCACTACACCAAGTTGAAGCAATAAAGAATGCTGTGGAAATAAAATTATATGCTTTGCACATTCCAACTGGAATTCAGTTTTCTTAAGGTTTTAAACTCCTTAAACCTCCTTAAGCAGTTCATAACTAATGTTTAAGAGCATAATCATAGGATTACATCCTATGGGATAAATTTATCCAGTTATAGCTATAATGATTATCATAGACTACCTAAAATCTTCATATCTTTTAATGAAGGTCTTATAGCTATTATTTGTCAGTGACCATCTTTGCTGAGAAAGTGGCCTTTTCCAAAAAGAGGATGACTGTCAAGGGGGAAGAGAAACTCCATTGCTTCCCGTATTTCTCAGGTCTCTAAACCTTAGAATTAATATAATTTTATACCACTTTAACTGCCATAACTCAATGCTATGGAATCCTTGTATTTCTAGTTTTGTGAGGCACCAACACTCACCAAACTACAACTCCATTGCCAGGTCCGTAGCCAGGATTTCAATTCGGGGGGTGGGGAAGTGGGGGTGATTTTGTTTCGGGGGGGGGGGGGGCTGAGTCTGAGTGAAAGAGGGTCTACCCTAGCAAACCTTTTGTGTCGTTACCCCAATACCCCCATGCATATGGGATATATTGAGTATGGTGATCAGATCATGATATGAATAAACATAACAGTTTAAATAATGCACCAGTAAGGCCTTTTCACGAACCACCATGAGAATTTCGGGGGGGGGCTGAAGCCCCCCAACCCCCCCCCCCCCGGCTACATGCCTGTCCATTGCACTGAGCCATGGTAGTTAAAGTGGTGTCGAACTGTATTAATTATATTGTATAGATGGATCCTTAGAATCACAAGGTTCTGCAAAAGCCTCGTGCCCTCATGCTAGATGTGAAAGTCAAAGTTTGGCAGGAGTAGGGACATTCTGGGGCAGTCTAGCCTCTCCTATCCAAGAATTGGGATGTTTTCTCATTTTGGAAGTACCTGTAGAGGGGTCCGCTCTCATAAAAGTGTTCCACTGTCATACATTTCTGTAGCTTTGCTAAGGAGCACAGTTTGCCCCTCTCATTCATGACATGAAATTTATTTCTTTACTGCATTTATACATCACTTTTCTCACCCGTGGGGGGACTCAAAGTGGTTTACAACATAATCAGTAGTAAAATTCACTGCCTCACATGTATAAACATCATCTATCAAATTAACAAAAATGGCAATAGATTAGAACCATTAAAACTATAAAACTATAACAGCAGTCACAGAAACAACATAAAACATTTAGGCATTGCATCAATCCTGATGTCTTAGCTACTTTCACATTTCCATATTTCTGTCACTCGCAGAATATCGGCTTGAATAACCAAGTCTTGAGTTGTTTCCTAAATGCTAGGAAAGAGGGGGTCGATCTGGTCTTGCTGGGGAAGGAGTTCCACAGCTGAGGGGCCACCACCGAAAAAACCCTGTCTCTTGTCCCTACCAATCGCACCTGCGAAGGCAGCGGGATTGAGAGCAGGACCTCCCTGGCAGATCTTAGTGTTCTAGCTGGCTCATAAAGGGAGATGTGTTTGGACAGGTAAACTGGACTGGAGCCAATGAGGGATTTATAGATCAAGGCCAGGACTTTGAATTCTTGTTGGTAGCAGACTGGCAGCCAGTGGTGCTAAACTAACCGGGGGGGGGGGGGAAGGGGGGGAAGGGGTAATGCTCCCTGTATGCTGCTCCAGTGAGCAATTTGGGTGCTGCTTGTTGGCCTACTTGAAGCTTCCATACAGTCTTCAAAGGCAACCCCATGTAGAGTGTGTTGCAGTAGTCTATTTGAGATGTAATGAGAGCATGGACTACTGTGGGCAAGTCTGACTTCCCTAGGTATTGGCACAGCTGATACACAAGTTTTAATTGTTCGAATGCTGCCCTGGCCACTGCCAAAACCTGAAGTTCCAGGCTCAGCTACTCTTCCATGCATTGTTGTTGAAGGAGAGGAAAGCAAATATAGGTGCACTCTGTAGTAAATAGAGAAATTGAATATATGGGAAGGCCAATACGGCTATGCCATGTAGAAGCTTAAAAAGCAGCTCAATGTTGAGATATACCACTGGTTCATCAAGCAGAATTTTGTTGGCAGTGATTGGCTGGGTAATATCTTACTAATGTTTCAGGCAAAACTCCTTTCTAAAAAATAAGGTTTAAACTTGATGTTTTTGAACATATAAGCTTCAGCACTTTCTTAATTTGATCATATTCCTTCATTACAAGTTTGGGAATTGATATAAATTGTACATCTTGTATAATTTATAGTAGATGGGGGAAAATATGATGTGGTCAAGACAACGGGCATGTTAAAATGTTGACTTCCATTAGTATTAGATTTGTAATTTGTAATAGACCTTGCTTTGCGTAGTGCTCTGGCTGCCAGTTATACTATGCAAATGCTAGAATCTCTGTGTTTTGTTGTTTTCATTTACTATTTAAGAACAGCACACAATAAAAATCCACAATCAGCATAACTTTGATCTAGAGAGCCACTTGGTTTCTATTGCAGAATGACTCATGGGGAATATCTTGTCACTGAATTCTGCAATAGAGGGTATCTCCAGAGCTTTAGAAAGTTATTGTGCTGCCTTAAATAT